AGGCTTATTTTCCTAATGTCTTACAGTGGCCCTTTGGGGGAAGGCTAGCACTAGCCCGCAGCCATGGAGGTGAAGACCTCGAGCTGCAAACACTTTGGCAGCTTTTTGCTTCAGCTTCGTTGTGTTTGACTTTTGCTTATGTATTTGGAGTGGATCTGGACAAGCTCCACGCTGCTTTCCAGTAACAGGCGGAACTGCTGCAGGGAGTTAATGTGAACCAGGATTTGGAAAATCCCTATGCTTCCTCTGCATCCATAAATTTAGATATATTTTCTTGGCTGCCCTTTGCTGGAGCTATTAAACTGGTGTTTGCTGTTCCCTGGGCCCTCATCTTGGCACCGTTTTGATGGGGTGAAATGTAAGCAGGTGGGGCAAGGGTAAAAAATAAAAGACCAGGCTGAATTTGGCCATCTCTCCCACCAGCGTGCTGTGGAGAAGGGGGAAATCACCCACACGGGTGTCATACGAAGAAACGGGCAGTGGTGTGGCTGCGTGCTCCCATCGCTGCTGCTCTCGGGAGGATTCAGCTTGGCGGTGATGCTCTGCTCCGCTCAGCCGGTGCCCAGCCCTCAGCATGGGGGGACTCCTGCTTCCCCCATGTCCCCTGCTCAGCGCCGGGGTGCTGTCAGAGGGGGTGCAGCCCTGCCCTCAGCGCTGGGCAGCTCTTCCCTCTTGCACTCATGCCAGCGCTGCCCGTGACTCTGTGTGCGAAGCCTTTCGTCCCCCTGCCCGCTCTCCCCGCTCTGAAGGAAGGATAAGGTGTGTCCCCCCTTATCGCCCTCTACAACTGCCTGACAGGAGGGGGTAGTGAGGTGGGGGTCGGTCTCTGCTCCGATAGGATGGGGGGAAATGGCCTCAAGTTGCACCAGGGCAGGTTTATGTTGGACATTAGGAAAAATTTCTTCACCAAAAAGGTTGTCAAGCACTGGAAGGGGCTGCCCAGGGAAGTGGTGGAGTCCCCATCCCTGGAGGTATTTAAAAGCCGGGCAGACGAGGTGCTTAGGGACATGGTTTAGTGGTGGGATGGCAGAGTTAGGTTAACACTTGGACTTGATGATCTTAAAGGTCTTTTCCAACCTAAACGATTCTGTGATTCTATCCCTGGACCTTACCCAAGGCCCATGCCAGCAGCGTGGGTGCCTCTGGGCTGCAGCCTCTTCCACCTGGGGCTGGGGAGCAGAGCCTGCCCCCGGGTTTTGCTCCAGTGTAGTTCCAGCTCCCTCTGCTGGGCCTTGTTCTTCCTTACACTAGAGCAAGTGGAGTGTCAACCTCAGAGGGGGTTTCCTTAACATTTTACAATATTCTGAATGCATCTGAATGTCAGAAATTAATTCCTACCAGGATGGCCATTTTCCTGTGTGTCCCTTAATTTTAAATGCCTCTTTTCTTTGCTGGTCCTGTTGCTCTGGACTCTGCAGAGAGGCTCCTGAGGTCTGCTTGCTATTTCATAGAATCGTTTAGGTTGGAAAAGACCTTCAAGATCATCAAGTCCAATCGTTAACCTAACCCTGCCATTTTGTGATATTATGTTGAGCATTCACTTTGAGTCTTGGAAAGATGGGATGATTTGCAGGTATTTTCCTTTGTTCTCTCTGTGCCCCTCCATATCTCACCCCAGATACAGACCAGCAAAGCTGGCTCTTGCTAATTGCATAGAGAAGCAGCTATCTGCAATAGCAGCATTCAATCTCTTTGGAAAACCGATAGACCAACGTGTTGACAGGTGGTGGGTTTTTTCTTGCCACAACTCATGCTGAGGGGTGCCCCCCCTCCCCCCAACTCATTTTGTGGTCTTTCTGGAATTGAAGCACAATGATTAGCCAATTCCTTACAGGAACCAGCTGTGAACTCTCCTCCGTCGAGATGCTCTATTGTTCCAGGCTCAGAAATTGTAATTATCAAAGAAAAATATTGAGCTGAGGCCAAGGTACAGTAACTTTGTTCCTTGAGTAATGGGGGTGAGATGCAGTTTGGGAGACGTGGAGGGATTAGAAACACATTGGAGAGAAAGGAGGAGGATTAGGAACAGCAGAGCCGAGCAGTCCTGCTGTTGGTCAGAGCCACAGTGTAAGTGCAGGGGGATGAGTAACGGCACACCCCGTCCCACAGGGCTCCGCTCTGCAAAACGCGCGCTCTGCTGCAGACTGAGTCCATGCACCCCTTCTTTCTGTACACCCCACTTCTCGAATTCCTGCTAGTAACATCTTTAAAAAGACCTCGAGTCCCTCTGCTGAATGTCTCATGAGCATTTTCCATTTAAATGGACTTGCAGATACCAGCATTTGTCCCACCAGACTTCTTTGCAATCATAGGATATAAAGCAATTTTGCCTGGGTCAAGACCAAGAGAAACAAAATATTTCTCCAGTTACGTTCCTTTTAAATACTTTCCAGGAATCAATTGCTGCTAATGCTGTGACCTGACACACTGTCGTGCTATAATTGTTCCACTTTGGGACTTTTTTTTCCTCTGATCAGTTCCCCACTCCCACCCATAGAGGAATTTGGGGATTTCTGTGCAAAGGAAGCCTGGGAGATAGCATGTGAGCATGCGTGAGGTATGCGTAGGTGTTCATATTCTACTGCATGTCACAAGCTCGGCATCACTGACAACCACGGGACCCTGGTCTCTCCCCACGGACCCTGGTCTCTCCCCACTTCTTTGCAGTTCAGACTGCCAGGGTGGGATCCCTGCCTCCAAACTTTAGATGCCTGCAATAAAAGTGTCACATGTATTCCAGTTATCTTGTCTCTCTTCAAAAACTGTGGTGGTACTGACACTTTCAGGGTGCATTTCATTTGACCTTGTTCAGGTGCCTGCTTTAGCATGTGCAGGGTGATACACGTTTGTTCAGAGGAGTCCCATCCCTAGCATCTGGCGTGGCAGCGAGCCAAGCCGTCCTGCTGATTACAGACTTACCGAAATATGGAGAATGAGCACGCGACACCCATAAAAAGCAACATCTGAAAAGTAGGTGATTATCTGGTGTTCCTTTAAATTCCTTGGATATTCATTATATCTTCCTCTGTAATTCTCCTAGTCTGATGGCACGGCATGTCGCCAGGTAAATACATGATTCTAAACATAGCTTAAAAAGGGAGAGATTTAGTGCAAGAGAAGCAAGAGGAAATCTTTATATACGGCCTTCAGTCATCTGCGCTGACGTGCTAATGGTGAAGCAGCAGAGCGCTCAGTGGCTGGTTCCCTCCCCATCGACTCCCTTTTAAACTGAACTTGGATGGTCTGGGTCTGGAAATAAGCTGACACAAACTGTTTCCTCAGCTAAGGAAGGGAATTCATCCTGGGCGCTGAAGCGAGTGTGTCACGCGATTCTTTGCAAGGAAGAAGCTTAAGAAGCCACCAACCGTTAGTCTAGTCCACTTTGTGTTTAAGACACGGACGCTTGCAGCACCCTTGTGAGTAAGAAATGGTGCCGCTGCCATTCTGTACCTGTGTCCTGCGCACAGACACCACGGCGCTGACGTTTGCTGCAGGGACGTGGCCGCTGCCACCTCCGCTAAACCAGAATCACTCTTAAGTGGCACTAACTATTCATGTGAGTTATGGTTGCGGAAAAACCTTTCGGGTCTGGCCAATAAAGATTTTCCTTGTCAGAGTAGCTTATACTGGTTCCCAAAGCAAAATAAGCCCTGTCAATAGAAGTTACTTCTCTGCCAGAGGACCTGTGCTCCCAGTAGGTTTTCTGCTTGCGTGGAAATAATGAGAGAGTAAATAATTCCCCCATGCCATGATATACCAGTAGATTTCTGGGTTTGCTGCGGCTTTTGCACTAAAGAAAAGGAGCAGGTAAAGCTGAGTTCATTTTCTCGGTCCTTGACAGATGAGGCAGCACCATCTGCTGTTTTCACTGCTCCTGGTCCCGCTTTGCTCATGAGCTGCTCTCCTTTCCCAGCCCGGCTGTTCGCTGATGCCCTGAGGACCCTGCAGGGGCTCTCACTGAGGCAGTGGCTGATTGAACCTCTGATGTGCTGGCTGATTAAATGGGCAGGGAAATAGGAAATGCTGGAAATCTGGTGAAATCATTTTTATTAGCCTAAAAAAGGGTTCATTGTCCATCCCACCTGCGACCAGCCACGCAAGACTTGTTACTTGTGCCCCCCCTGATTTCTCACGAAGCTTCTGAAGATGAAAATGGAGACAGCATCAGGGCTGGGGACACATCCGATTAAAAGGCTGAAGGATAAACCCGCCTCCTTCATTCCTAGCTCACCTTTAACACTTGTGTCCAGCTTGCCCCAGCAACATGAGATACCACCAGTGCCTGAATCCTCACCAGTCTGTGCCTTTCCACCCTGTTCCTTCACCTGGGCTAAGACTTTGGATTAATACCATATGGGACTGATGTGAGGGGAAGGCAGGTTTATTCAGCCTAGGCATCTGTCTCCCCTGATGGATGGAAAGCTGTACATACTCCAGTGGCTGTCACCGCAGGACTCCGCTCGCCATGTACTGGATTCTTTCTCACTAATCTGGGACCGACTCATGTTCTCAGTGACTCCTGAATGCTTGGCAGTGAGGCATGATGGTTCTGAGCCGGGGTGTCAGAGTACCAGGGAAGGAAAAAAAAGAGAAGGTGGCGCTGGGCTGTGAAGGTAAGTGAGGAGAAGAGGATGGTAATTCCGTGATCACAGAGGATTTTGTGATGAGTGTGCCCAAATTCAGACCACCACTCTGCTACAGATGTCTTATATGACCTTAGACAAGTCACATGCATCTTAAACTCTTAGAAGTTAGGTATTAACTTCTTCTGGCATTCTGGGACTCAGTGTCCCTTTGAGTCTATATAGAGGGAAATTGGTGTTTTCCTGCCATGGAGGGGTCTTCTGAGGTTTAATATTTCAGGGTTGGGAAAGCCCTCTGATCCTTTAGTGGCAGGATCTAAGAGAAAGGTTCCTACCACAAGGTTTCTCACAGCATATCAGCAGGGTAGACAATCCATTTTCCAGGATGACCATCTCATGGTGTTTCTCTCTTTTCAGGCACTGCGTCTGTTGCAGTCGCTGGCATCTTTGCAGCCTTAAGGATCACAAAGAACAAGCTCTCTGACCATAAGTTTGTTTTTCAGGGAGCTGGAGAGGTAGGAATGTTCTTGAGTTTGTTCCTAAATACGTTGTAAATTCAAATTTAGAGAGAGAAAAGTCAACCATGAAACTTCCTGCAAGGCTTGGCTTCATGGAAACAAAGCCCAGAAGCAGGTTCCTTGTCACCAGGCAAGAGTGGGCCCCACAGGTGGATCTTGTTGCTATGTAGGAGTTGCCAACGCTCTTTCAGTGGCCTCTTGGCCCATGAGTCCTGGGCACATTGCCTGGATGCTATGAGGCTGCCCATGTGTCAGTGGGGCTTTAAGTACCTCGAGAAAAGTCCCTTATGAGGCAAGGTGCTGCAGGAACATTAAGGAAGCTGGTTTGAGTCCTCAGGGTTGGTATTTAGGGTAAACCAGAGCCTCTTTAGCCATGGAGTCAAAAGGACTCAGACTCAAAGAACTGTAAGAACATAACCTCACTTTCTGGAGTCAGTCATATTGTCCCCATGGCAGAAGTTAGGCAGTCTGTAAGGTGCCTTGGTCAAAGAGAGAGAAGGAAGAGAAAGTCTCTAAAGCCTGGACTGTGGACTAAAGGTCCAGGTCCCGGCTCAGCTCTTGCCCAGCTGTGGGACTTTGGGCAAGGTCTGTTACTCACTGTTTGTCTGTCCGTCTGTGAAGCAAAGATTGCTTCTTCTCCTTCTCCAGCCCTCCTGACAGACATGTCTGTGCTGTGGCACAGAGGCCACCCTGCCTTGTTAGTCCCCATCTGGGCGGGAGGGCTGGGCACAGCTGTAGGACCACTAACACAGTGTGTCCAGGGCTGCTTCCCCAGGCAGGAACAGGAGAAGAGGGCTTTCCTCTTGGCAGTACTTCAGCTGCAGCAATCCCACTCTGCATTGAGTTCCTCTCTATTGGCATTAGCACCAACGTTTGTTCAGAGTCTGCCCCTTTTTCTCCCCTCCAGCAGCTGGTTTAAATGATGGAGACAGTCTCTGCCTGTCAGGGTACCCCCTCCACTGCTCCAGCCTCATGGGCAGCCTGCTCTGCTGGATGATATTTTTTTTTTTTAATTTATGGCAGCACCTACAATGCTAAAATCAGCCCCATCGCATGGCACTGTACAACCATGGAGCACAAAGCCTCCCTGCTTTGTGCCGTGCTGGGGCATGACCCAACACATCTCTTATTTAAAATCTTCCCCCTGAAAAGATGATGACACCCCAATGAAGTGTTTATATACTGTGTTCCAGGCTGCAATGGGCATAGCTCATCTCATCCTCATGGCCTTGGAAAAGGAAGGAATTTCACAAGAGGATGCCATCAAAAAAATTTGGATGGTGGACTCCAAGGGACTGATTGTGAAGGTAAATTTGTCTCCAGAGCTGAGCCCCACTACCCCGCCACCTCCTGCAAGCTAGAGAGAGGCCAAAGCAGGTAGATAACTTGGACCCTGCTCTGGCCCTGGAGTAAGGGCTGGAGTTTTACTGGTGTCAGCAGAGCTGTTCCTGCTTTCAGAGGACTGGATCTCATGGTGACAACGGTGTACCAGCAGCACTGCTACCCTAGAGGCGATGCTTCGGGCTGGATATCTAAAGTGGTAGGATACACTGATGTCTGATTGGTATTCTAACTCCATATGGCCATGGTCTTAAGCAGTGCTGGAAGTCCTCCATGTGGGGTGTGACAACAGCAACGTTGTGCCCTGATCCAGCCTGGCCCAGCTCTACTCTGCAGTCCCTGGGTCCTTGTGGCCTCTGCCCTTGTCCCTTCTCAGACTTGGGGAACTTGTGCTAAGCATACAACTTCTCTGCCTTGGCAGACAGATCCTTCCTCCACACAATCAATGTATTTGGGAGGGCGGGAGGAGCAGAGGCCAGCCCCATGTGACATTACACCAACAGCTCAGTGCCTGGCTGGCTGATGCTGAGGACCTGCTCTGAGGAATCCAGTTTAAGTAGGGGGCCAAGAGATTAAATGAACTGATGAGTTACTACGTTATGTCTCCACCTTTTGACAACAGACCAAAGTTTGACTCCTTTTTTTTTCCTCACAGGGCAGGAGCCACCTGAACCATGAGAAAGAAATGTTTGCCCAGGACCACCCCAGTGTGAACACACTGGAAGAGGTTGTGCAGAAAGTGAAGCCTACGGCAATTATAGGTGGAGTTCCCTTAGCACAACCTTTTCGCGTCAGTTCAGTTCTTAGGAGAGTTTCTGTCTTTCTTCCAGAGCCTCCTTTTGTTCTCCCAGTCAAAATGAAATGAGTTTTTTTTACCCCCATTTTGTCAGTTGAGTTTTCCACATCCTTTCCCCTTCAACTGTGGGACACAGGCTTCCTCTCTTTTGGAGCTGTAGGAGCCATCCCAGACAGGACTGCAGAGGGAGGTGCCATGGGAGGCAGGATTTGGGGCTCTCGGCAGCGAGCACGGCCCGGGCAGGCTGAGCAGGACGAGGATGACAACAGGCAGCTCAGTCGGGTCTTTGGGAGGCAAAGTGCTGAGCGCCACAGCCCAAACACGGATTCCCACCCTGTCCAGAGTAGCAGAGGGCTTTATTTTGAGATAGGCTTTTAATCCTGCCATAATAGGAGAAGCATTCCCACCTGCATCTCCAGAGATGGAGCCTGTTCCCTCCTACAGTTCATTTACCGATAGAGGCATTTCCAGAGGGATCAGCCCAATGCGCTGAAGTCAGGCCGTCGGAAAGCACCGTCTCACTCCGCTGTCGTTGTTTTAGGTGTCGCAGCCGTCGCAGGAGCTTTCACTGAGAAGATTCTGAAGGACATGGCAACCTTCAATGAGAGGCCCATCGTGTTTGCCCTGAGCAACCCCACGAGTAAAGCGGAGTGCACAGCGGAGCAGTGCTACCGCCTCACCGAGGTACTGCACCAGGGAAACCACGGTGGTGCATGGTGGGCGGCCAAGTGACAGTGGGCACGAGTTGAAACAAAAGAGGCTCAAGCTGGTCGTAAAGAAAAGCTTGCACGCTGTGAGGAGGGTCAGGAGGTAGAACAGGGGCCCAGACTGCTCATGCAGTCTCTGTTCTTGCAGGTTTTCAAGAGCAGGCTGGATAAAGCCCTGAGCAACCTGGTCTGATTTCATAGCTGACCTTGCTGTCAGCAGGAGTTTGGGTCCCTGCCAGCCGGAATTACTTTGTGATCCTCTAAAGAAAGCACTTGCCTCCTTCATTCACAGCTGTCTGAGGTGTCCCATCCTCCCAGGTTACTGTCCCCTGTGTTTTGCCACCCTAGTTGTTTGTATAACAGTTTCATCACCCAGCTCAGGCTCAGTGTCACTGAAGAATTACTGTCATGTGGACTGACTTGGGGTGAGAGAGGAGGCTTTGTCTCATTCTCCCCTTTGGTGTCCCCCCCACCTGCTACTGCGTAGGGCAATCACACAGCCCCCAGACCTTTATCCCACGAGTCCCTCTTCACACTCAACACATAGTTGATAGAGAGGAAGAGAGACTCCTTCTCAGCAAGTTCAAAGCACTTGCAGTTGGGCAGTACAAACACCCACTCAGTGCTCAGTGGTCCTGTTCATGGCCCTGTTGGTGGGGACCAGGCCCTCCAGAAGGAGATGGTTCTGGTGGAGATGCCTCTCACTTACTGGCTGGACATTTGTCCACTTGGTCACCAGAGTCCCCTGAGTGCAGATCCTGGCATTGATGTCTTTTCTAAAAATGGATGCCTATTCCTCTCTCTTGTCAGGGACGGGGAATATTTGCAAGTGGGAGTCCATTCTCAAAGGTTACCCTGCCCAATGGACAGACCTTCTTCCCTGGCCAAGGAAACAACGCCTACGTCTTCCCAGGAGTGGCACTGGGAGTCATTGCCTGCGGAGTCCGGCACATCTCCGATGATATCTTTCTCATCACAGCAGAGGTTTCCAAATAGCATTTAACTAATGTTTTTTAAAAGATGGTAAGAGGCACAAGCACCCACCTCAAGTGTTTTCAAAAACCTGGCCTGGGGCAATGTGTTGAGAGGAAATGGCACAGCCTCAGCAAAAAGCCATGGCCTTTCCCAGTCTCAGGAAAAGCTCAAGCTTCCATTGCACCTACAAAGGTGCAGGAGCCATGACAGGGTCCCCCTCATTCTCCGTAGCTGGTGCCCCGGCACAGCACTTCCATCATTCTGGCTCGCTTTAAGTCTGGAATGAAACATATGCGCACATGTATTTTGTATAGTTCCACAGCTCCCACTGAGAACCAGTCCCAGCTCTGCCGCTGCCGAGGTTTCAGCCACGTACCGTGTAACGCTAACGAACGTGGTACGGGCTTGAGGCCACCTCTGTAAACTGCCTTTCTCTTCTTCCCAGGCTATTGCTGCTGAGGTGACAGAGCAGAATCTTGCCGAAGGACGACTCTATCCCCCCTTGGACAGCATCAGAGAGGTGTCTCTCAAAATCGCCGTGAAAGTGAGCACCCATTTAATGTTTCCGCTTTCCACGGTAGGGGGGGGGGCAGGAATTGCCTTGGCATCATTCTGGCTTTATGGGTTTTTAATTTAACATTTTTTACAGCCTAAAGCAATGATTCTCAGGAATCCTTCCAGCCAGAATTGCTGCTTTGATTTCTATCTTTAAAGCCCAAATGTGAAAAATGCCTCCTGATTCTGGGTGCCTCACAGCTCACAAAGCTCCGCTTTATTGCTTGGAGCTGTGAGTTCTCAGCACTTCAAAAAATCAGGTTTAGGGTCAAATTCAAACATGACCCAAGTTGCCAAAAGATTTTAGGTTCCAATTTGCTATTTTGGAACCTCTCCTCCTGTATTTGATAGGGGCCTAAGTACCTAAATACTATTCCAGATCCGGGCTTGTTTTCTAACTGTGGGATTGATGCCCTGCATACATCGAATCTGTAATTCCCACGCGGGGGGCACCCACTGAGAATCACATGGGCCTGCCAGGAGTTACTGACGGATGCACAGGGTGGCTGAGGAGCTTCAGGGTGTGAGCGGAGGTGGTTAAAGGGCCGCTCTCCTTTAACTGCACATCCAACCGTTTTGCCAGGGCAGGGGTGTGCATTTCTAAGCAGCGGTAACGGCAGGCAGCTTGCATTCCCTCACCCGCGGGATGAAGCGCAGCTGACTCAGGGAATTGCACAAAGAGAAAAAAAGAAAAAAAAAAAACCAAACAAAAAAACACAATTTTGAGGGGGCAGAGGGAGGGAAAAGAGGGGAAAATACAGCCAGGGCCAAACTGCTGTTGCTTTCAACTTCGTAATGTGCCAACTTTATTTCATCAGCTCATTTTCCTTATCTTCTTGCAGATTGTTGACTGGGCCTACAAGCATGGTCTTGCTTCTTGGTACCCCGAGCCAGCAGACAAGGAAGCCTTTGTGAAACAGCTCGTTTACAGTCCTGATTACGATTCATTTGTTCTTGACGATTACAGGTGGCCCCCCGCAGCCATGCAAACACAAGATGTTTAAGTTTTTGTGAGAACTGTTTTCTCGGTTTTTCCATCAGTTCCCATGGTTCATATCCTTGCTGATATAAATGCACCTCCAGGCTTGCAGAATGATAAAAGTAAATGATTCTAAATAGTTTTTTACTTGCTGCTGCTTTTTCTCTGTGGGAGCGTATCAGTAGGGAATAAACGGAGTCCAAGCGGGGCAGCCAGCACTCCAAGGAGAGAGACAGGCTATGGCTGCAGCCCGTCCCAGTCCGTCAGCACTGCGCACCGCTGCTTGAATCACAGAATGGCGAGGCTTGGAAGGGACCTCAGGAGATCATCCAGTCCAAGCCCCCGCTAAAGCAGGGTCACCCAGAGCAGGTTGCGCAAGATATCGTCCAGGAGGGCTTTGAATATCTCCAGAGAAGGAGAATCCACAACCCACCTGGGCAGCCTGTCCCTGTGCTCTGTCACCCTCAAAGTAAAGTTCTTCCTCATGTTCAACTGAAACCTCTTCTGTTTCAGTTTGTACCCATTGCCCCTTGTCCTGTCACTGAGCTCCACTGAGAAGACTCTGGCTCCATCCTCGTGACATCCACCCTTGAGATAATTCTAAGTATTGATGAGATCCCCCCCCTCAGTCTTCTCCAGGCTAAACAAGCCCAGCTCCCTCAGCCTTTCCTCACAGGGGAGATGCTCCAGTCCCCTCATCATCTCTGTAGCCCTGCTTGCTCAATGTACTGCCCACCTCTCAGCTCACCTGCCTCGGGAGAAGCTACCTGGGACACCTTGGAAGCAGAGAGTCCCATTCCTAGCAGGAGTGCCTGCGGGAAGCTCAGAGCCCCACTTCCATGCTGGCAGCTGTACACATTCCTCACACACAAGAGCCAACCTTTGCCTACGGCTCTCTGGATGTGACAGGAAGCGCGTGCATTGCCCTGGGAGAGGCACACGCTTGGGCAGCGCTTCCAAAGTCCCCAGTGTTGGGGGAGTCTTATCCAACCCAAGCTGGTGCGTGGGCCAGACAGCCTGGCACTGTCCTGTGCCCCATCCCCGTGGAAACAAACCCCAAAACCTCCCTCAGCCCCATGGGGACAACAGATTCCCTCCCCTCTGCAGTCCAGGCAACAACTGGGACAGAACAGAGGGACTTGCTGGCAGCTCTCGCCGCTCACACACAGAAAGGCGGAGTCTGGTTACCAGTGTCTTTATTTAGTACCTTTAAGTGGGTTTTAGCATCAGGAAAAGCATCTCATCCCTTTGCTGATGAGCCACAGTCTCTCCAGAGTCCATGTCCTTGCAATGCCAGCACCTTTCACGCCACTCACATAGGTGGGTCTTCTCACCTAGGCTGAGGAAGGAAAGAGAAAGCTGTCAAGTTTCAGGTTCAGGGAAAGATGTTGAGAAATGCTCACATTTCCTGAGCAACAGACCCTGAAACTGAGGTTTCCTTGCCTTTTGGAAAAAAAGCTGCTTTTGAGAAGGGAGGTAGGCAGGGTGGCAATTACTTTTGTTTGCTTCAGAAAGGTGCCTACGCAGCTCCTTTTAGTTTCTTCTCTCTTCTTCCTGTGCAGCTTCCCTCTGCTCAGTGAAAGGCTTGACCTTTCTGTGTGTTCAGATTCTGGGCCTAACTTCACAAATATTAGGGAAGAATGAAAACCAAAAAAAAAGAAAAAAAAAAGAAAAAAAAAAAAGAGAGAGACAATACCTTTCAGGTGGAGCCATGAAAAAGAGGAAATTTTCCTGCACAGCCTGGGAGCATCAGGGAGCGCTCAGCCAGCCCCATGACAGTCACCTGTCAGTCTTCCTCTCCAAACACTGCCAGCAAGAAAGGCTTCATGCTTCCTCCAGTGAAGACAAGACAACAGGATCCACTCCTTGGAAAAAGTCTCCCTCCAGCTCCTTCCTGAGCAGTGGGCAAGCCGATCCTGCAAGCAAGAAGGCAACAGCAGCTTGATTCCAGGGCACCACCTCCCAGGGCTGCTGGGCTCTGGCCTTGGTGCCGCCTTCTGAGAGACGCTTGCCGCCGGTTGGGAAGGGAATGGGCAATCACTAGGCAGTGGGCTGCGCTGGGGAGCCACGCGTCTTCCAAAGCAAGCAGCAGCAAACGTGGAGTGACGGGGGACCCAGGCCTTGGAAAAAGTCTCCCTCCAGCTCCTTCCCGGGCAGTGGGCAAGCCCGGGCACTACCGGCTCTCCCAAGAGAAGCTGAGAAGCGGCTGACGTGGTCAGCAAGCCAAGGGCTGCAGAAGCAAACCTACTCACTTGGGAAATACGACGACGTCGTGGGCAGAAGCCGTCTGGGAAGGGGCGTTCTTTCTGCCTGATAGGGCCGAACACGTCGTCCCTGGCTTCTGCAGGAGAGACAGCCCCGAGTGAGACCACTGCCGGGAAAGGATCCCCTCGCCAACCAAGGCGGCCAGGCTTTGGGCTGCTAAGGCACAAAGCTGCCCTCTGGCAGAGCTCCCTGTCCTCAGCGTTAAGCCCTCTTTACTAGAAGCAGGAGCTGCGCAGCGAGCGCCTGCACCCGGGCAATAACCCTGCCTGGCTTTGTGCAAGGGCAAGAGGCAGCCGTCTCAAGCAGGAGGCGAGTCAGACCCACAAGGAGAAGCCACTGCCAGCGGCCTTGCAGGGCATCTCCCAAGAAGCCATGGCAGTGCCGCCCGAGTGAGACACTCACGCTGAGGAGAGAGTGCAGCAGGCGGCCAGTGCTGTCCAGGGTAGAAACAAGGGCTGCAGAGAACAGCATTTTGACTTTGTTCTTCTGGGAGCACAGGCAGCCAAGCTCCTTGAAGATAAAAATCTCCATCCTGCTTCTTTGCCAGGGTGTTAAGACAGAAAAACCAGGGTCTCTTGAATGCACCGCTGCACCGCGTCCCTAGGAACACGGGTGTCCAAGGGACCGAGGTGTAGTTCAAGAGAACAGTCATAGAAACACCTGCGAAACACAAGCAGGGAACCAAGTAACTGTGACGCTGCTGAAGTGGACAACAGTCAGGCACGGATGGGCAGCTGCAAAGCTGTGCTGGAGCGGTCTTGCAGCCTCCTCTGGTGCCGTTCTACAATGAGGTCTGCGTAGCCCCTTCCTGCCCCCAGCTCAAAGCACTCACTGGGCTGAGAGGCAACGCTGGGGAGAAGAGTACCCCTGAAAACGCAGAGCTCCGAGGGCCTGGTGCCCCACAGCGGTGGTGCCTTGCTGGGGCCCCAGAGGCAGAGAGGGACATTTTCAGAAGTTGCTGCTTGTCAGTCAGTCAAAAGTTTGGGGCTGTCTTTTCTTGTCATGAGCTCAGGCTATTCTCAGGACCTTCTGAAGGAGCCCTAGACTCCTCTCAGCCTCCTGGTAGCAGCAGTTCAGCACACACCCCAATGGCCCCACAGGAGGAAGCCATCCCGATTATACACCTCCTTGGCAGGCAGATTTATTTCGTGAAGCTCTCCAACAGCTGGGAGACAGGCTTCTGTACATGGAAGAGCTCATGGACGCCATGCATAAAACGTTTCACAAGGCAGAAGATTGCCAGCCCAGGTACCGTGACAGCCTAAAAAGAGAGAGAAAAGGAGGCACAGGGCTCAGTCTTTCTGAGATGGAACACAGCTTCTGCAAGCAAGGCAATGTGCCACTGTGGCCCAGCCACTGCTTGTGCGTAAGAGGCTGGATGGTGGCAAAATGGAGAGCTTTGTACAAGGCCTTGCCCACTAGGTCTCTTTCAGCTCCCTCCAGAGGTGCTCCAGAGCAGAGCAAACACCCTCAGCTAAGGCCAACCCCCAGCAGCTTTCCAGCACGTGGGGAAAGCCTGGAGAAGCCGCTCAGGCTGAACGCGGGGCTGCCCAGGGCCAGCGCGCAAGCGGCAGGCAGCATGGATGTGTTCCTCCTGCTGCAGCTGGGCTCTTCTCTTGGGCCTGCGTGCCAGAGCAGCGGGGCCGATGGCACGCTCGCAGCCGGCGGGGTACCGCCAGGGTGTTTCTTCTGCATTAAGAGATGACATGGGGTCCTTGAGAACCCCCTACATCTCTCCAGAGCGAAATCTGGTACAACAAGGCTGCTCAAGTGCCTGTTAAACCCCTACAAGGCTCACTCTGCCCCACAGGTCAGAGTGGCAGCCCCAAACAGGAG